ATTTGTCCGAAGTGCCCCATTTACGTTCTTATTTGTGTCCCGATACGGAAGATAAGCGTAATCATTCATATCCAAATAAATCCCGGTTCCTCACCACGTTGTGCAATTATCCGGATCAGGGGTCTATGTTTTCTACCTATCAACATGGTGCGTCCGGTCTGGATGGCAACTTACGCTATCGTGATCTAGCCGAACGTGGACTAGAACGCCTCTCCTACGACTTGGCTCTCTGTCAGAACCGTTCTAGTCTGAGTCCAAATGAATCACGTTTGATGACTAGTGACAGCTCCCCATCGGCTTCATCCATTCCAAACACCAGTTCACCATCACTGAGTAATCCAAAGTCCATATCCTATGGTAACGGAACAACGCTTGGCTCGATCAAACAAACTGAGCTGGATTTCAACCAGTTATGCCTCGTCTGTGGCGATAGTGCAGCATGTCAGCATTACGGTGTGAGAACTTGTGAAGGATGCAAAGGATTTTTCAAAGTAAGTCTCGTTAATGTTATTTATCTAACATAAACTATTGTTTTCATACAACCCAAAGTCTGAGTGTGCACCCTGTATTCTATTGATTTTTCTCAATCCGCCAAGTTAAATTCAGTCTTTTAGTAGTCTACACTAATGGCAAGGGTCATGAGAATAGTAATTTCGTTTTGCACACTGGAACCATCGAATTCATTTGACTCGCACATGATCAGAAGTGGTCTACTTCGAGTAACCGTTACGAGTGATGTAATCAAAAGTAGAAAATAGCAGGATCGAAGATGTTATTTCGTTCCTTTTTAATGACACTAGGTGGTAGTAAAGTGAAAACGTTTTCCTTTTATCGTTTACTTGGTAATAGATGGATTTTGATTGCTTACTTTTGAAACCTACTGAAATGTTATTCAATTTGATTGACGATAAACATAAAATGAATAAATATACAAATAAATAGTGTTTCGACTTTTGTTTCGTTTATGAAGCATCAGTGTTTCAGTTGGTTTTTACAAAGTAGTTCTGACCAAACAAAAACTGCTTGGAGAAATGTGAAATAAGATGGATGGACGGAGGAGGTGTCTTGAGATTCGAACTTAAAACCTCCGGGTCATTATTATAATAAACCCGGGAACTTTACTACATTTTGAACTCCTAAGTAGAACGTTTTGTTTCAAATTTATGAAGCGCGTGTGCACTACTACTATCTTTGTTTACAATCCTTCATTAAGAGATGCTTCAGTTCACAGTAGCCACTTCTTAATAAAACATCGTCCATCAAGGTATCCGAATCTGGTTGAAAATAGTCCTTGACCACTTTGTGTGCAACAAAAACTAACACATATCAGTCCTGGTTCCAGATGCTTTGCGTTCCCGTGTTATGGTTCTTAAATTACTCGGTAATTCAAACATCCCTTCTCGAACGAGCGCTCTTTGTTATCACGTAACGTGATATTTTGATGAATTTGTCTTGTGTAATTCGCAAACGGGGTCACTAGTTTAGCTACGGAAATTTTCGGCTTGTGTTTTCCCTGTCAGATGACAATTAACCCATGATTTGGGGTTCAAATAAACGCTTTTCAGGTAAAAACAGTCAAACAGCTAACAAAGTCTAAATCGCCAGACTACATTTCGGATGGTTCAATATTATGACAGCTGAAATTACGAGGTTTAGTGAAGCTTGAACCGCAAGTGTGATGATCCCAGGCCGAGGAAGACATGTTTCATTTGTCACATTTTAAGATTCGGTGTACCGGGTCGGAGAACGCTCCATTTTTAATAATTTTGTTTGCTCCGGTTTTATGAGTACAACAATCACTGTGTGGCATGGGGTCAGTAATACACGAAGCCTGTATGCAGTAGAATATTGAGAATTGGGGTGACGGTGATAGTCTTCCGAGTGACGCTTGGGCGGATTCTAGTTCAGTTGTTCCGTTCTGAAGCCAAGAGGGTCTGGTAATGTAAAAACACAATCGGTTGCGTTTAATCGCTGTATCTTATACTGGTCATGTGGATACCTGTCAGCAACTACGATTTATTTATTTTTTTTCATTTTTAATCTGAAATATCTGATATTACAAATAATTTTATGCCATTTGATAAACCAATCACTGAAGATCTGCAGAAAAGTACTCTGAGCATAGTCACATTCATCGCGGATGCAACGTATTTTCGCGGCGACAGTTTTAGTAGAAATGTTGTGCTAAAGGTTTCTGGCTAAATCCTGAAATGAGTATAATGGATCACATCTTACTTTTCCACTGAACCGTGTCAAAAGTTGATCCGCCTTGATTCAACATATGGATTGCTACTCCATGTGGTTCCTGTACGAAGCATACGTCTGTTCATCACAAAACTGTTTACACTTCAAATGCTCGTTTTTCTCCCGGAAGAAAACCATCTGTTTGACATTAAGGACAGCTAATTAACAGAGAGTGTATCTTCGTGATAGACAACTCAATAATAGACGAGAAATCCCCGCAGAATTATCTGTTTTCAATACATTTAGATGAATGATGTAATCCGGAGTGATTCAAACAGGTATAACGCTGATCTCGATAATGTAAGAGTTTTGAATTCGCTGAATTTTCCCGGTTATCAAGCTTCAAATGGGGGGTATACATACGTCCGATGTGGGTAAAGCTTCCCAACTGAATCCATGATGTCTTTTGTAAACCCTTTTGTACTAACGAATATGATATCTGTGTTCAGTGATTAATGTTCATCGATATGAAAATAATTTAATTTCAAGAATCCCTTATTCATATAACGGGGCCAAATCCAGGTTACAAGATTTTAGCACAAGCCGTACTGAACTCAGTTCTACTTATCCTTATTTGTGCTTGTGTGTGCGTATGTTTACTCGACCAGATATTTTGACAAAAATATGAAATATATTAGAATAGGGATTTGATTTGTTTGTATGATGGAATCGTCGTGTAAATCAGGTGTGAGCTGAAAAGCTGGGAAGCACTGGACAGCGCTTTTGACCTATTCGGGTCTCATCAGTAGTGCGAATCCATCGACTCAACTGGGGATCGAACCCGGGACCTCACAGGTAGAACGCAAGCATACTATCCACTCGGTCCCCGGGCAGCTATTCAGACCGTTTCTCATTCTGAATATACACGATATAGTTTGCCCGTGATGCAGCTTGCATCTTTGCGAGCACATCACCTCCATTGTTGACCAGCTACTGGGCAGAGCTGGGAATTGATGCTGCTTTTTGTTCTGATTTGTGGTTTGAGGAGATAACCTGTTTTGGCAGAATCGAACCAATCTCTCAACCTTACTCCAAACCGGCCTTTATCCCCATTCAGTCTAGGCCTAGTGGTCTCCGTCGTCGTCGTTGTCGTCGTCCTGCTCGTCATCCTCTCGATATTCATGGACCACAGCACTGAATCTGAACCCTTTCTGCAAAGGTGCGGGTGCGCTCGCGCGCGCACAGATGCAACCTAACTTTTGTCCATTTTCCCTCGGAAACCATCAATCATCATTGCTGGGTCTGTGTTGTATTCGATTTAATTCCGTTAGACTGGAGTCTGTTTGCTGCAATACTAATATGCGGTGGTAGAAACAGAATAGATCGAGCAAACGACGTGGAGGGAGTGAGGGGTGATGGGCACGACAACACTGACGAGTGGATCTGTACCGCACAGTTGATGTTCCGGATCAGAAGATCAGAAGACCGTTCTCGGTGCGGTCCTATCATTGCGACGCCTTCGAGTACACACACACACACACATACACAGACAGACACTGAAGCACACATGAATACGTGCGCGAGCATTTATAAATATGTGCACATTCACGCACTGCTAGACAGACGAACACTAATCTGCGCTTCGTGAATGACAACGACCAGGACGAAGACAATGACCACGACGACGACGATGATGTTTGAAGCGAACCCTAACGCGCATCACTTTTGGTCCTCATTATTATTTTGCAATTTTCTGAAT